TTGACAAGTCGGTCGGTTTGACAAGTCACAAATATCTATAATATCGACTATAGATATTTGTAAAACTATTATTTCTATAGTAGAATATGCTGCCTCCATAGGTATCATATTTCTTTGGTTTGAGTGGTGTTTGACATCAATTCATCGTCAATCTCGTGTTAAATAGGCTATTACATAACCAATACAGCCTATACATGCATTGTCTGATGTGTATTTTGTTCACAAAGTTTTACATGATTTGTTGTGTTTGTACCTCTATACTCTGCAAGATTATAAAGTGTATAATGAGCACCCACCTTATGGCATATCTAAAGCAGAACGAACTCCTCAGCGACCGACATATGAGTCCCACAACAATCGGCCGATAATACCTTTCAAGCGTATACCACACATACTTAAGTGGTCTGAAATGTTTTCGACCTAACAAAGATAAAAAACATTTTTTTTAATTTATTTTTTATTTGCCTACGTAGTTGCCTTGTAACTCTACATACCTCTACCAGCAACGATCCCATCTCTCTAACCTGTCCAAATAGTACTCGTCGTTTTTCTCTGCATTTTGTAATTGTTCACGAAGACGATTTTCTCCTCATTTTATGAAAATCTCTGTCATCTCTCTGGCTAGATCTGGTAAGGCGGATGGTCAAGCAGTTCAAACCGATATGGATCATGGGTTTTTGCCATGGCAATCCTTGAGGTGTGAGACGACGCAATGTCATGGTAAAACAGGATTTTATTTTTCAGCAAACTTGGCCGTTTTTCCGGAATTTCTGCATTCAGATTGTAAGTAATGTAGCGTAGTATTCTTCTTTATTGGTTTTTCCTTTTAGAATATTATCGATTAAGATTACTCTATGAATATCTCAAAAATAGTCGCCATCGCTTTCCCAGCCGAAAAAACAGTTTTTGATTTTTTGGTGCCGATTCCCTTTTTGCAGTCCACTGTTTTGACTGTATTTTTGTTTCGGGCTTATAATGGTGTATCCACGTTTCATCTACAGTAATTAATCGGTGCCAAAACTCAGATTTATTGCGCCTAAATTGGTTGGAAATATTTTTGCTCTGACGAGAGCTAACGCACGTTTAGCATTATTTTGTGAACTTTAGCGATGTTATGGTTAGTAGTTGCAGTTTTTGGATGTTCCGAATGTTCATCGTCTCCCAAGCTCTCACGGCTGTTTGTTGATGTTTAAATTTAGCAGCTCCAAAATTTCACTGTGATAAATGATGGTGCAATCCCCATACACAGAGTCCAACTCATCTTTGATTTGCGTAGGCGTATTGCCTTTTATAAACAAAAATTTAATGACAGCTCGATACTCATTTTTTTCCATTTTCACAAAAAAACTCCAACGAAGCTGTCAAATAACATCTACAAGTCCAAAATGGTCTAAAATGACTGAAATTTTGGTGCTTAACTGTCAAAAGATGCACAACTACATTCATTTTCAGCTTTTATTGACGAGTGGTGCCATCTTCATGTTGGGGTCGGAAACTTTTCAACATCAACTTTCAGATCAACCTGATACTTCATTCGCTGGGGGTTGGTAGTACTTTAAAAAAATAAATGTTTTTTCGATGTAATGCATCGCACAGTGGCATCGATGTTATACCGATATATTAAAAAATACATGGATGTTTTCCATACATTTATTACTTTTTTAAATACTAACATAACAACAAGTTTGTAAAATGGATTCCTGCGTAATAATTTTTAGGGGAGACGAGCAATTTATTAACTTATTGTACACACAATAATACATGCTGTGTAGTGTTCGTGAAGTGAAGTCATCATTCATCATCATTACAGCCCTTCACAAGTCCACTGCTGCACATAGGCCTCCCCCAAGGAATTCCACAAAGCAATGTCCTGAGCCAACTGCATCCATCGACTTCCTGTATGTCTTATCAGGTTGTTAATCCATCTAGTGGCGGGTCGCTCTACACTACGCCTACCGGTACGAGGCTGCCACTCGAGAACCCTTCTTCCCCAATGATTGTCGGTTCTTCGAGCTATATGGCCAGCCCATTGCCACTTCAGCTTACTAATCCGTTGGGCTATGTCGGTCACTCTGGTTCTACTGCGGATATCCTCATTTCTAAGTTTATCACGCAGAGAAACTCCGAGCATAGCCCTCTCCATAGCTCGCTGAGCAACTTTGAGCGTCCTTATATGGCCAGCAGTGAAGTACCACGTCTCAATGGCAACACAACTTAGTTTTCAGGTTTTGAGGTATACCTGACGAGAAGATGCGTCGTAATTTCCCGAACGCTGCCAAGCCGAGTTGAATCCGTCGATTGACCTCTGAGTCGAAGTTCAACTTACCTAGTCGGACTATTTATTATTTGTCCCAGGTAAACATACTCGTCAACAACTTTGAGCTTAGTGTTCCCAACAACTACCGGCATAGGTGTGACATGGACATTAAACATGATCTTTGTTTTGTCCATGCTCATCTTAAAGACCTCTCCGTTGGGAGGCACTATTGAGGTCATTGAGCATAATGCTTAAGTCCTCCAGCGATTCTGCCATAAGGACTATATCGTCGGCAAACCGAAGGTGAGTGATGTACTCGCCATTGATGTTTATACCGTATCCTTTCCAGTCCAGTAGCTTGAAAACGTCTTCCAATGCAGCGGTGAAGAGTTTCGGGTAAATAACGTCACCCTGTCTTACACCTTTCTGCAGTTGGATAGGTTTCGTACTCTGGTTCTGTACTCGGATAGCCATCGTAGCCCTACTGTACAAACACTTCAGCACTTCAATATACCGACAGTCAACTTGGCACACTGAAGAGACTGTAGCACCGCCCAAATTTCGACGTAATCAAAGGCTTTCTCATAGTCCACATACGCCAGGCAAAGTGGCAGATTGTACCCTTCGGACTTCTGTATAACTTGCCGAAGGGTATGTATGTGGTCTATGGTACTGAAGCCTTTTCGGAAACCGGCTTGTTCGGGAGGCTGGAAGTCGTCGAGTCTGCGTGCGAGACAATTCGTAATGACTCTCGAAAACAGCACGTAGATGCGGCTCAGAAGGGAAATCGGTCTGTAGTTCTTCAAGAGAGCGTTGTCATCTTTCTTGAAGAACAAGACCGCACTTCTGCTCCACGCCTCCAGAGTAGTGCCACCATGGAGGACGGAATTAAAGAGCCTCTGAAGCACTTCAAGTACTGGTTTTCCACTCGCTTTCAGAAGCTCCTCTGTAATTCCATCCTCGCCCGGGAACTTGCCGTTTTTAAGGTGCTGGAGAGCCATTTTAATCTCACTCAGACTGACGTTCGGGATATCATCGGAATAGTGTCGGATAAGACTTGCTCTTGGATCGTTACTCACATTTGCGTGTGGCTCCAACGATGATGTGTACAGCTGCCCATAGAACCTCTCAACCCCACTCAAAATCTCAGGTGTCCCGGAAACGATGCTGCCACACTCAGTCTTCAGCTTTGACAGTTGGCTCTTACTGGCAGACAGATCTCTGGCAAAGACTTTGGAGCCCTGGTTCCGCTCGATCGCTTCTTCAATACGAGCAGTTTTTTTATTAAATTATTGTTGTTATTAGGAAGATGCTGCTGCCCATCTCCTGCCCGTCTCCCTCTGTCGCCTCTTATGACACCCACGGGAGATATGGGGTGGTAGATATTCTCAACCGCCACTACACTACACGTGAAGTGAAGTAAACTGATGTAAATAAAGCGAGGTCATTTGCATTTTTATATTATTTTTTTCCATGAAGGAGTCACTAAATCAAAGACAAAAATAGTTCAATGGACATTCAACGAAGGTTTCAATTACAAATAGTTGTAAAGTATTTGTAGCAGGTGTATACTATTGCTTGAGGTTTTTGGAACCTGAACTTTGTGCATGCGCAGGAATTTCATGACTTAATTCCTGCCTCTGAATCCCATTATTGTATCACCCCCTCCACCCCATTGTTGTCAACATAACACGCATTTAAACCAAATGGTTCGCTCCGTCGTTCATGCGTACAATAAAGAGTGGAGTAATTTGTCTGCATCTGTCTTTCCACCCAGATAATGTAGGACACCCAAGGCAAGAGATAAATAGGCATTTGTTAAGCTAAGTCAGTACGCTTTGCCATCTTCAGCTGCATCACCACAGATGTGGTATGACTGTGATCAAGCACTGGCTTAATATAGTAAAAAAACATACGCACATTTTTACTATCCATGTTATCGAAGATGCTACTTTTGTCAGCTCCTAATGGTGACGATAAAGAAATTCCAATCACACCTACCGACGGATTTTTAAGTTGATGTTCTAATCTAATTAGATTTATATTGAGGCGAAAAGATCTCAAAGGCAGCCGTTTGCTGTGGAAAATAAGCCATAAATATTTGAAGCTTTATGAAGCTGTGTGCCAATATCTTTCTGCCATCAAGTTTTCCTAGCATGCGCTGTTTCAGTAGCTATGGATTAGTTTGCAACCAAAAAGTTAATTTCCGTAAAATTTAATCTACCTGTTGTAAATTTTTAGTATTAAAGTCCCTATTGGCAATCTTTCTTTTATTTAAATTCTAAATTTATAATTTAATTTCTTCCAAGGTGAGCCCTCCTTATGAAAAATTCTTTTTATCCTATCGTCATATCAAAATTTATTTCTAATACTTCCTTACCCGTTTCCTCCATAACTTCTTCCCTTACAAATTAACGATTTCCTCATTAACTTCAACTAAATACTGATATTAACAAGTGCAGATAATAGGAATATCTGCGCTTCTGAATATCAGTATAAACAAGTAGAAACGATAACACAAGTACTTTGATAATGTCACAAATGTCGATACCCCGCAGTAACTTTACATACATATTAAAGATAAAATACACGTCAGACAAGACTTCATGAGCGTGTATCCCTTCGTCTTTCAATAAAAAGTATAGTTGTCATCGTGAAGTTTATCAACAATTTGTTTTTTTTTCAGAATTCAGTCATTACCTATTAAAATTTTAAATTTTTAGCTTATATCCATAACATAAGGATGGTAACTTTTGGTCCCGATGAAGTAGAGTTAGTAGATAAGTCGCCGTGTGCTGGTATTAGAGCTGATCTTAAGATGTGTCTTTTGAGCAGCAGTTGCTGTAAAAAGGTTAGCCTATCTTACATTAGACCTTTATATAATAAAAGCACCGTCCAACTAAAAATCACTGCATACTAGTAACTTATTCTAAATAAAATGTTATTTGAATTATAAGAAAGATTGCAAATAACTATCTTGTCATCAATTTTGTTTTGAGAATTTTTTTTAAATCTAAGTAAGTGATTAACATATTTTAAGTTTTAGGAAAAAAAGACTCCAAGGGAATGTTTGAAAGATGGTTTAGTCCCTGATGAATGCCTTCAATTACGACAGAGTTTTTTTGAGTGTAAGAGATCATTGGTAAGATATCTACATGTCGTATTTTACATTTTCCTGTGGTTAATAAACAGAAAGAATGCGGTTATTGATCATATTGGCTAGATGAAATACACTCAGCACTGCAGGTTCCCACACAGATTTATGTTCTAAATTTTATAGGTTCAAACTATAGTCTGAGGCATTTATGCTTGCTAAGAGCTGCAATGTCCCAAAAGATATAAGTGAGACACCTATCGTCCCGTTTTTTCTATACTATTAAATTATGGGCCATAGAATTCAGGAACTAATGCATACTTTGTTTCATCTATTTGGATCAAATATCAAAAGTTTTGAAAAAAAAACCTAAAATTTGCAAAATTACTAGATAAGTCTTTGCCTAAAAAGATATAACTATAATGATTTCAATTGATTCAGATGAAGTAATTTAACACTATTTAATTTTATTAAATACTAGCTGGTCCAGCAAATGAAGTTCGGTCCTTTATATAATTTATGCTTGGGTTGTGCAAGAAATTTTACCCCATACTTTTTTAATATTAAAAGGGTTTGAATTCTTCCTTGTTTGAGTCCAGAAGGTTCCTGATTAATCGAAAAACAGTCATATGGTTTGGTTTAGCCATAAACATACATAAAAAAACTACTATTTATGTCGGTCTAAACTGCTTAAAATATGAGTGTAATATGATAGTAATATTACTTCTGATTATATTTGCACCATTTCATAATTTTACTACTTTGTTCCACTTTTTTTCCCGCAAATCTGGCAAAAAGTGTGTGATGACAATAAGTTATTGCATTTTTATATATATACTTGATAGAGCCAAGCTGCAGCTATTATAGTTGCAGCACAAATGGGTCGATTCAACCAGGGAAGGACTACACTCTCACAGAATAGCAGTGTAAAATAGCTGCTTAATACTGCTGTGTGTCTTATGGTGAGTGTAGAATATCGGAGACACTTATTGCTGGAAATGAGGAATTTCATCTTGGTCTTCAAAGTAACAACGCATTCCCTTACCATTGTGTACTTGTTTGTCACCCTATTTTATAAAAAAAGACTTATCTGGTATCAAGTGCTAAGTAAAAAATTTATATGCAAAAAATATTTGAAATCAATGGCATTAAATAGGTCCTCTTAGTATCTAAGATTTAACCTCTCTATGCACTTACATATCAGGTAAATACTATATTGTGCTCTGTGCAATAGACTACTTTTTAAAGGATTTGGATCATCAATTACATTGTACTTACTGGATCAAAATTAACAAGGATCATCATAACTGTTTTCTACTAGCATATAATTTGGCTTTCATAAATCAGAGCAGCTGAAAGCAATGCTATTTAATATGTGAGTATCATTGTAATTAATCTCAAAAAATATTTTTTCAGCTTGACAACAGACGAAGGTTTCGCGGACATAAAGGATATTAAACTGCATCATTTAGATTATATTAGCTTTAATACATTTATTAAGACATATTAATTATTCAATTAATTTGAATATGTAAATAAAGTTGAGTTATTTTACTTTTTCACTGTTAATTTATGATACCCAATTTTTTTAACGTGCTCTTCAGAATGGACAGGACACATTATTTTATTTTATTTAGTGAATATGACTGTACTGTACACAGGACACACCTGCTCATGTTACCAATAATTGGAATACTATGAACGACCCAGAACCTAGTATTTTAGACGTCGAAGTAGAACAAGCAATAAAGGCATTAAAAATGAACAAATCACCTAGTAAAGATAGCATTCCAGCAGAACTTTTAAAACTGAACTTATGGCCTAGAGAATGGACTGAATCAGTTTTTGTGCCCTTGCATAAGAAAGGTTCCAAAAGTAATTGTACAAACTACAGGACAATTTTCTTGATTTCGCACGCCAGCAAAGTCATGCTGTATATAATAAATCAACGTCTTAAGAATTTCCTAAACAGGCAGATTCCCGAGGAACAAGCTGGCTTCGTAAAGGGAAAGGACACAAGAGAACAGATTCTAAATATCAGGCAGATTATTGAAAAGAGCCAGAGTTTGCCAACCCAGGGATACTTTGCTTCATCGATTAACAGTAAGGCATTTGACTGTGTCCGTTGGGATAAACTATGGTCAATATTGGTCGAAATGGGAGTACCAACACACCTAGTCAGCCTAATTGCCAACCTGTATAATAATAACCGATCTTATGTGAGACTTGATTGCAGTCTTTCCAATGAGTTTATGACTATGAAAGGCGTGAGACAAGGTTGTATACTGTCTCCATTGCTCTTTAATATATATGGGGAGCACATCATGCGGAAAACCATAGAAGTCTGGGATAAAGGGTTTCATATTAGGGGGAAAAGGGTGGCAAACTTGCGATATGCGGACGACACTGTGCTTTTTGCAACATCTTATGAGGACATGAAGGAGCTGCTGCATAAGCTAGAATTAGAAAGCGAAGAGCTAGGTCTGTCAATCAACAGGAATAAAACGAAACTCATCAAGTCTTTCCACCACATGTCTTCAGCGCATCCTCAGCTACTTTGGTCATATCTCTTGCCCCGGGGACGAAAGTATTGAGAAATTGATAGTTGTTGGAAACGTAGAGGGAAGAAGGCCCAGAGGTAGATCACTAACCCGGTGGTCTGACTAAGTCAAAGAAGTCGGTGCGCGAAATTTCTACGACGCTCCGTATGGCCAGCGATAGGACCCGGTGGAGAGAGATCATACACAATAAACTTACTCTCCGTCATGGTGATCACGATCCTTAGTCATGAGGGACCGACTAGAGCGAGAGAGTGAATATGAGCAAATTAAGTTCTAATAACTTCAACCACATTGATTGAAAAATGCCCGAGAATATTGAGTTAGAATTCCGGTTTGAACACTTTTAATTTTCCTGCCATATTAACACCATTTACATGACTTTCCCAGATCGTTCACGGCTAATATGTGTTATTTTATCTCATCCTTAGCCGATGCATATTTATTTGACATTATTTTATAAGGAGTTTTTAAATGACAAAACTTCTGAATTGAGACACTCTATTTCAGTCTCATAACCGTTTTTATTTTGTTACAGTGTTTATATTTTAATTATTGTACTCTTGACCTCGCCAGTATCTCCATCTTCCGAAGAGTCACTTACTGGCTTGTAAGCAACAAAATACTTGTGCTTTGACTTCCTAATTAGCGTCAACAAAACAGAATGTTAGTAATAAGAGTGAGTGAATTGATGGCCGGTGTCCGGTAGTAGCGTTTCGATTGATTTCGGCGCCCCCACGATGACGGCGCCCGGTGCAGTCGCACCGCTCGCACCGCCCTGGGGCCGCCACTGTACCACCCACAGGCTCGGTAACATAGGAAACGAAGTATCAAAATTTTCCATTACTGTAATGAAGTTACATACCATAAATTTATAAAGTCAACCTATTTTTGCACTAAAATATTTCATCAATTTGGTTATCATTCACAGCCCTTCACAAGTCCACTGCTGAACATAGGCCTTCCCCAAGGAATGCCACAAAGCACTGTCCTAAGCCACCTGCATTCATCGACTTCCTGCATGTCTTACCAGGTCGTTACTCCATCCAGTGGGGTGTCGCCCTACACTACGCCTACCAGTACGAGGCTGCCACACGAGAACCTTTTTTCCTCAATGGTTGTCGGTTCTTCGAGCTATATGGCTGGCCCATTGCCACTTCAATTTACTAATCCGTTGGGCTAGGTCGATCACTCTGGTCCTACTGCGGATATCCACATTTCTAAGTTTATCACGCAGAGAAACCACGAGCATAGCCCTTTCTATAGCTCGCTGAGCGACCTTGAGCATCCTCATACAGCCAGCAGTGAGGGACCACGTCTCAGATCCGTAAGTCATCACTGGCAACACGCATTGGTTGTACAATCTAGTTTTCAGGTTTTGAGGTAGGTATATTAGACGAGGTGTGTCGTAATTTCCCGAACGCTGCCCAGCCGAGTTAAATCCGTCGATTGACCTCTCGGTCGAAGTTAGACTTACCTAGTCGAACTATTTGTCCCAGGTAAACTTACTTATCAACAACTTCGAGCTTAGTGCTCCCAACAACTACCGGCATAGGTGTGACATGGACATAAAACATGATCTTTATTTTGTCCATGTTCATCTTTAGATTTAGACCTATCTGTGCTTAGGTCCTCCACTGATTCTGCCATAAGGACTAAATCATCGGCAAATTGAAGGTGAGTGATGTACTCGCCATTGATGATCCTTTCCCGTCCAGTGGTTTGAAAACGTCTTCCAATGCCCAGCGCATTGCAGCGCTGAAGAGTTTCGGGGATATAACGTCACCCTGTTTTACGCCTTTCTGCAGTTGGATAGGTTTCGAACTCTGGTTCTGTACTCGGATAGCCATCTTAGTCCTACTGTACAAGCACTTCAGCACCGACTTATACCGACAGTCAACTTGGCACGCTGAAGAGACTGTAACACCGCCCAAATTTCGACAGAATCAAAGGCTTTCTCATAGTCCACATACGCCAGGCAAAGTGACAGATTGTACTCTTCGGTCTTCTGTACAATCTGCCGTAGGGTATGTTTGTGGTCTACGGTACTGAAGCCTTTTCGGAAACTAGTTTGTTCGGGAGGCTGGAAGTCGTCGAGTCTGCGTGCGAGACTATTTGTAATTACTCAACTACTCCCCCATCTCCTTCTCAGATAAGGCGCACCAAAACACATAGTGTGCGCCCCTTCGCGGCCTCCAACATTACTTGCGCAAGGGACGCCCTCGTATCAAATGCGCGAAGGCCGTGGGCCCATGAACGAGCACTCAGAAGTACTAGCCTTTCTGACCCCAGTGGCGGATATGGTCTATGGCTCCGCAGCCTCTCAAGATTCAGCTGCGAAGGGTAGCGAAAGCGGTGCCTCGCAATAACGACACTCCTCTCTCCTCGCAATACTGACACTCTTCTCCCCACGCAGCCTCACCATCATTGCAGCAACGGTGCGGCCCCGTCAGAGTCGTGGAGGGTAGGGCGAGTGGCGCATCGCCATACTAACACTTCTCTTCCTCCGCGACTCCACTTCGGCTGCGGCGGTAAGGGGGAAGGCAACCCTCTCGTCGCAGCCCGTCAACACACATTCGAAGTGAGTTCGCCAAGCCCACTCAGAGCGGCCACATCGAGTCAGTCAGTCTCCTAAGCCTTCCACCACGACAAGGCGGGAATCTGTTCATGGGAAGTCAAAAGCAACCTAACTTAACCTAATCTAATCTAACGTAACCTAGGCTTAAATTACATCATAAACCTAAAAAAGTGCAGGTTTTTGATCAAAAAACAGATTTTTTCAGGTTATTGAAAAGATTTAAATACTAACTTTGTTTTCTTCCGGTTTTTGATCAAAACCCTGATTTGACCATAAACCTGCGACATGTTATCTGTTAGGTGCCGCGTTAATAAGACGGTGGTATAGCCATCGTTAATATAAAAGCCGGGCTTACAGGGAGTTAGGCTTGAGGTCGCTGCCGACAGATGTTCTGTCACAGAACGGTCCCGGCATGGTGCACAACATTTATTCCTAATTTTAAAAAAATAAAACATTTTTTTTTAAATTAGGATGAAACCATATTGATAGCGTAATAAAAGTCGTAGTCGCTAAACGTAGATAAAGCCGATATTAGCACCAATCAAATACCAAAAATTTATTAAAATTACAGCCTACATACGCACCATGCTAGACGTACAGCCACACAGACCTTAAAAAGAACTTTGGAGCAGAGAAGAATCCATCGTGCTGTCGTAATATGCATTGGCGGAATTCAGTTTCCTCGAAATATTTTGATTTTCCTAACACTTTTGGTTTCCTCAAGATGTTTCCTTCGGCGTCGCGTATGTGGTAATTCGGCACTTATAATTGCAAATAAAATTATATTGACCCTGGGTCCTAAGACCACAACAAAAACGGCAAATTTTAAAAAGGTGACTGTTGATTAGGGTGTCCTACAAATTAATGCACAACTTGTGCCGGTTTGAATAAAAGTTGAGTTTGCTTGCGTACTTTGAAATTTTAATGAATAGGTACTCCGTGGGCCATCACGCATTTTGTGAGCTATAACGGCTCACGTTATATTTTGTGTGGTCTACTCAAAGAATATACTAGGTACCTACTCTCTAGAAGAAGAACGGGAAGTCTACGTAAGATAGTAATAATTATTGCTTTTATAGAAATTCCTAGTATGGCGATGCTTTTTAAACAAAATGATAAAAGGTATTAATTTTTCTGGTTACCATTAAAAAAGAGATGTTTTGAAATATCCAAAAACTTAATATTTCGAATAACTCCTAATAATCCTGGTAGTAAGATAAAATACATGAAATGATGGACTGAAAATCATAGCGCAATTTTGTTTTTTGTCATGAAGGTTTGTACTCCATGTAATGGGGGATCGCCTAATACTGCTCTTGCCA